GTGCTAGGTCGCCGGTTAGTACTGTACTGATGCCTCCAAAGGGTGTGGTGTTGTTGTGAATGGTAGCGAATATGTTTGAAATAAAATCTAAGAGTTCCGCGGATACCATCGAGATTTCGTCTATTATAATTGTATCGATTCTTTTTAGTTTTTCTTTTAGTTCGTTATCGTGGAATGTAAGAGTTTGGAAACCGTTGTTGGTTGAGATTATTTTTAGGTCAGAGTGGATAGTATTTCCGTTGATGTTTTGTGCGGCGACGCCTGTGGGTGCCATTAGGAGGTAGTTGGATCGCTTGTCTTTTAGTTGATTGATTAATAGGTGAGTGATGTATGATTTTCCGGTCCCTGCGGATCCTGTAATGAAGAAGTATGGCCATCGTCGTGCATCTCTTCAGCCTAGGTAGTTTTTTAGGGTGGATATCGCGTAGTATTGGTCCGGTGGCAGTTGGTAGGTAATGTCTTCGGGGAAGATCGGTGATAGTATTTTTAAGGAATCAAGTTGGTTTCTTAGGATGGATGTCATGTTTTTTGGGATTATATTTTCTAGGTTTGATAGTAATTGGTCTAGGATTTCGGTGTATTTCGAGTTCATTATTTGGTTTATCTGCTGGGTTTGGTTTTGTGCGTTACGTTAGATCTCCTCTATCTTTTGTGGAAACATGGATGTGAAATGATCGCGGTAGGTTGAGTAGTTTCCTTTTAATTCTTGCTCACTTCGTACTAGTATAAATTTTAATAGTTGTTGGTAAAAATAGAGTTCTCCTTTAGGAATCGGTGGCGTGTTATGATTGGTTTTGTTCTTTGGATGACATAGTTTCCGAGTTTGTCATTGTAGACGTTTCTTCTTGTGGTTTGCCTTGGTCTATTTTTTTGGATTTGATACTTTTCAAAATATTGGGGTAGGTGATTCTGTCGAATATTTCTTCTGTTGGTCTATTCATATATTTTTCTATTGGATCCTTAAAATATGGATCTTCATTTTCATTTGTTAGTAGATGGATTGGTAATACCACCTTTGGTCTGCTGTTGGGAGGGTCTGTGTTTAGGTATTTTACTTGAATTGAGGAATTGCATATAGTTTTGCATAATATTAGGAACATGGCTTCCATCACTCCTAATCTTCAAGCGATTATATGTTCTCTAAATTTGTCATTTTCTGTAATGTTGAAGACATGAGAGGGTTCTGCTTTAATTACGTATTTCGTGATATATCTGGCGAATTCTTTTGAGGTTACGTATTGGGCATTCATGTGTGCGTTTCAGATTAGCAAAGTTTTGGAATGGTATGGTACTATCCATTGATCTGAGGGTTTTGTATATTTATAGATGTATCAACAGGAGTTTTGATCGATATGTGTCATGTTAGAGAATTGTCTTGGGAATCCCTTTTTGCATTTCTCTTCTGGGGAGTAGGTCTGTTGCATTTGAGAGGGTTGCATCGATGAATTTGGTATGCTAGGACTTTTTCGTAGAGTTCTGGTTCATGTATTGGATCTGGTAGGTTGAAACATATAACGTTTTCTTGGATCATGTCTTCAATTGATTTTGTAGTCCAGTAGCAGCCATGTGTATGAGTGGCTCTTCTGTTTTGGAATTCTATTCGGTCAAAGAAATCTGTTATTGTGTCCCATCTGCTTACTTCCTTATTTTTTCACACTTTTTTTAGCGATCTGAACCAGTAGATGAAGTGAAAGGTAGTATGTAGTAGCCTGTTGGTCAGAATAGTATCACCGTTGTCAGTTTGTCTTAGTATGTTGTGGAGTTCTGACCATCTATTTTCTGCCATTGATAGTGTAATGAATATTGTTAGGAGTCTGAGGTTTTGTAACATTGAGTTGAGGTGTAATTCCTTTTCGTGGAAGTAGGAGTCACTTGTTCTAATAAATATAAGAATTGGGATAGTCAAGTCTTCGTTTATACATTTTTTATTCGAATAATTACTTTGTTAAATTAGTTGGATTGGTATGGGAATTCGATACGATTTATCAGTATTTCTTTGCCGTAGTATACGTTGGGTGTTCTGGTGATGGCGTAGCTTCTTTAGTTGTAGGTATGTGTAGGATGGCCAATAGTAATCTATTCTGAATCTATGATCATTGAGTAGTATCATATGCTTGGCATATTTTCCTAAGGTCTCTAGTCTGTCTTCGTTTGATTGGGAATGGTCTCTTATATTGTGAAAGTGACCTTTACCATTGGGGAATAAGTGTGGAAATAGGAGAGGCTCGAGGTTTAGATCGTAGATTGAAATAGGTAAGGAGTTATCATTGTCATCATGAACGAATCTGACCATTAAACGCGAATAGTGAAAGTTTTCGTCGTGGACTTTGTTAGGTAGACTTATAGTTGATACGATTATATTATGTTGATTTGCAGGTAATGCGAAATCATCATTTGGGATGTGTGTAGCAGTTAGAAATGGTTCTATTAATCTTATACCAAATTTTTGGTTTAGAATAGTTCTATAATTGCGTAGATAGAGGTTGTTTGAACTTAACCAGAGAGCAGCTTGTAGGAGATTGTCGTCAAAAATCTCTTTATTTGGAATATGATTTGGGTTGAGTGGTTGTAGGTAGGCCCTATTATGCCAGAGTATAGTGCTAGTGCCCTAAAGTTTATTGAGTATTCCATAGCAACGATACTTTGAGTAATTGTCGAGGTTTAAGTTTCGTCTAAGGGAATAATGTAAATAGATGAGGGATAAGAATTTCCTATGGTATATAGGTACGGCTTTAATTTCATCTGGAATTTTAGCTAATAATGGAAATTGATATCTACTTTGAGATTTTGCGCATGAGTTATATGAAGAGATTTTAATGATTTGACATTTCAGTGTGCTATATCAGACTAATATATTAATTTGTTCGATTTGTTCAATTGGGTAGGTTGTCGAAGAGTCATATGTGATTCAGGAGACTTTATTTTTGTATAATAATTTTCTACAATAGACACAAGGGGTGTCAGGATATTCTTTTAATATGGTTGATTGAAATTTGTTATAGATTCGTTAAAAAGATTCGCTTGGTCTTCATGGATTATTGTCTGGTAATGTGAATGATGTTTGATTTGTAGAAAGATTCAAGTTTGGGATGTTTGTGTTGATGATTGGGATATCGATATTTTGGGGTGATTGGATATTTGTTAGGTTAGCGAATGAATCATCAAAGAATAGGTTAATCATATTTTCAGATAGTATATCTATAGAATATATATTGTATATGTGATAAGACATAGTTGATTAAGTTGGGTATCTTTTTTTTTGTAAAGGTGAGAGGGAAGTAAGGATTGGGATAGAAGCGAGGGAGTTATTTATATATTTATTCAGTTATTGTTATTTGTTTTATTAAGGGCGATAATTATGTTAATTCTTTTAATTATTTTTGTTTGAAAGTAATCGTACTAATTGGAGATATAGTAATTGTATTAGTTTTTTGATTCTTATTATTTTGGAATAAGACAATTGTATTGATTTTTTTAAGATAATCAAGATTTTTTTTTAGGTCAAGTCGTCTAATTCTGGTTTAACAGATCGATTTATCTTTTTTTTTGGAATATAGAGCAGGTTCTAGAAAAAATTGGGTTTAATATACACAATTTTTTTTTTTACTTATTAGGGGAAGAAGAGAGAAAAAATTAGTCCAGTTTATTCGCGATTGGAATTGTTTAACTTGTTGTTATTTTATTGGTTTAATTTACTGATTTAGTTTATGCTATTTAATCAATAATAATTTTATTTTATTTTATTTTTTTTTAATTAGAAGAAAATGTTTTTTTATTGATAAAAAAAAAAATAATTTGATGAATAATTCGGTAAAAAAAAAGGATAAAATAAAAATAGTAACAAAAAAAAGAAAAAGAGGTGGGAGATTGGGAAGAGTAATTTTTTATGTATCTGTATATAGAAAATAGTAAAAAATAATAATAAAGAAAAAAATGAAAAACGAAAAAGAAAGATTTGTGAGTTTTTTTTTATTGAGGCTGTGGATTTTCATTTGAACTTAGCGATTGGATGTTTGATACAGCATTTGTCACATTTGAGCTTGATTGATGATTAGGTGTTTGATGCAATACTTGTCATTACTTGTGCAGAAATTCTTTCTGAAAATTGTCCAGCTGGCCAGGAATATAGAGATGAAGTAGATTTTCCAGTTGGTGATTCGATATTTATTGCTATAGATATTAGAAGAAAATTAATATCTTGTATTTTAACTATGTATTCAAGTGTTTTGTTAATACAGATCATCTCGCCAGTGATCATTAAATTTGAATTTTTTCTGATTCTGGTTGCTTTTTTCTCAATTCGTCTATCAGATTTCAAGTATCTACATTTAATACAGAATGTTCTTCCTGTGGGTCTACCTTGTGAACTTCTAGCAAATTCAGTTATGTTTAGCTTAATGATTATAAATAGGTTGTCACTTTAAGCTAATTCCATTTCTGCAACGAAACCTGTAAAAAAACAGAAATAGAACTGATTGGCAAATTGTCTCGACCGATATTTATAAGGTCAGCTGCATTTGCTGTCATCTAGATATTTTTTTGATATATTCGTTACAAATATTTTTTTTAATTAAATTAGTTAACTAAATTTATTTACTTCTATAGTATCATAAGGGTCTTTTGAAAGTGCAAATTTTCCAGTAAATCTTAAGATATTTCCATCAGAGAAAAGAGGAATCCATCTTGGTACTTGGGAATTTTTAGGAAAAAAAGTAATTATTCTTAGTTCTAAGTTTACGTTTGTTTCTCTCCTTAATATAATGATTGCTTCTCTCACAATGTGTTCTGTAATGCCTTTTTCAATTATTAAATGAATTATACAAATAAGTGTGAATTTTGCTGGCATAATTTTATAGTTTTTTTTTGAAAAAAATTTGACGGTTATTAGTAATTGGTAATAGTAAAAAGAAGATAGAAGCTTTTTATTTATCATTTTTTTTAATAAGAAAAGGTAGTGTAAGAGAAACAGGGTTTTTTTTTCTTCTTGAGAAAAAAGAAATCTTCTTTGGGAATTTCATGAAAGATTCATCCTTTTTTTTTCATTGTTTATTCATTACTTATTTCTGAGGGAGTGTTTTTTTTCGATAACTTTTGATATAAATTTGGAGAGGATTTTAAATAGGTCGGCGAGATTTTATTTCAGTCATTCATAAATGCATTTGCTTTAAATAGTCAAAATAGTCATAGCATATTTTCTTTTTTTTCTTAATTAAATTAACTAACTAAAAAACAAAAGTTTAATGAGAAAATTTTTAAAAACGCCACTTATATAAAGTTTTTTTGTGCAGCATATGGCGTAATTAGATCTTTTTTTTCTAATATTAAACCGCTATTCGTAAAAGCTGATTGTCGAAACATGAAGCATGAAGTAAAAAGCTTACGCATGAAATTATGCATAAATTCATATAAAATTATACATACAGAATGAAGAAGCCATAAAAATGGTAGAAAGTGTTAAACCATATTTTATTATCAAACTAACCGAAAACTGAATTTTTCAGTTAGTATAAACCGTTAAAAAATTATCTGATCCCTTACAAATAGAGGTTAGTGTTCCCGATCCTTTACAAATAGAGGTTAAACAAGTAGCACAGGCTTTTTAGCGTTCTTTTCTGTATGCTAACTAGTCATTTTTTTATGTCACATTATAGACCCCAAAATCATATAGTTTAATAATTGTAATAACATACCATCCCTAATCCTATGTCATAAGTGAGGTGGGCATATGTGAATAACGAGCTTTTTACATAAATATTTTTAAAGCTAGAGTATTAATATTAATTTTCAGAAGACTAACTTAAATAGTGTGGATTTATGAATTTTTTATAAAGTTACTGAAACTCTTTTAATAATTGATATGAATCTATGAATCTTTTTTGAACTAATCATATTTAAGAGAGATACACTTTATTAAAACTTATATACTAAAAAAAAATTATTTTGACATAAATTTAGTGCAAATTTAATTACTATATGAGACACTGCCAGAAAAAAAAAATTTTTAACTTTATATGATACTTAAGTAAAATACAGCATGTATTTTATTTTCACCCTTTCTACCACAGTATTCATATGAACGATATTGTTAATAAAAAGATTTATTAGAATAATTCTAAATAGAGAAATAAATTTATTGTCCTTATTCTTTCAATCTTAATATTTTTTAGTCAAAATACCTTCGACAAATTTTTAATATATTTGTTTTCTTATTGATTTTCACCCAAGTTTCATCAATAAGATTATAAATATTAGCAAACATGTATAATAAAATAACTATGGTATAAAATATTGATAAACTTTTTTTATTTATGATATATTATCACTAATAAAAAATATTAAAATTGGTAAAAGTATAATTAAATACTGATAATCAATAAAAATATTATAGCTTTCGTCGAAAAATAAGGGTTTTGTGTTACAAACTTAGAATACTTATACATTTCCTTTCATGGAGTTTTAAAAATTATAAAAGAGAGAAATAAATTTCAAATTTTTTACGTTTCACTTAACGATAAAAGTTAAAAAAAAAAAAAAAGTCAATCATTGTATGACTTTTTTTAGACATCATCAAAGAAATTGCGTGATTTGATTTTTATAAATACAGACTTTAATAACGTGTTTTATAAGCCTTTTTGATTTCATAAATTTCGTAAAATATGAATTTTTCATGAATTAAGTTCCTATGACAATCAGATATGTCTAATAGGTCTAACGAAATTCATTATTTTGAACAAAATCTTAATTTCTGAAAATCCTATTAAATTTTCAAATGAATACAGAATCACCACCTTCTCTCAACACATTCGAAATAGATTTGGGCTGAGAATGGGGTTAGGGTGATTCTTGAAATAACCTGTTGTTATTGTTTTATAAATATGGCTTATAATAACATGCTTTATAAGCTATTTTTAATTGTAAATTTCGTAAAAAATATGAATTTCATTTTTGTAAATAAAAGTTCCTATAACAATTCAGGTATGTTTAATATTTAGGTCTTAATAAAATCTCAACAAAATTGAGACTCTGATTTAATGAACTTTGTTCTAACTTCAGAAGAATTGAAATGTCTAACTTCTGGAATATGATATTGTGATAAAGAACAAAGCAGTATCGGATGGTACAAAGAATGTGAGGTTAATGCCTTTAAAGAAAATTTTAAAAATTGGACAAGTGGCAATCTTAAGATCGATACATTTA